TGGAACCACAAAAAAACTCCATATAGTGAAAGAATTCTTGAGAGAGAACAAAACTGGAGGTATCACAATCCCAGATTTCAAGATAAACTACAAAGCTGTGGTAATCAAAACAGTACGGTACTGGCACAAAATTAGAAACACTGACCAATGTAATAAGATAGAGAGCTCAGAAATAAACCCATGATTATATGGGCAATTAATCTTCAAAAAAGGAGGTAAGAATATGCAATGGGAAAAGGACGGACAGTTTGTTCAACAAATGTGTTGGGTAAATTGGACAGCTACATGCAAAAGCAAGAAACTGGACCACTTAATTACACCGTACAGAAAAACTTAACATGGGTTAAAGACCTAAATGTGAGAACTAAGACCATGAAAATCCTAAAAGAGAGTATAGGCAGTAATTTCTTGGACATCAGCCACAGCAACATTTTTCTAGATAGGTCTCCTAAGGCAAGGGAAACAAAAGCAAAAATAAACTCTTGGGACTACATCAAAATAAAAAACTTCTGCAAAGGAAACAATCAACAAAACAAAAAGACAGCCTACAAAATGGAGAAGATATTTGCAAATGATATATCCAATTAGGGGTTAGTGTCCAAAATATATAAAGAACTTATACAACTCAACACAAAAAAGCCATCTGATTAAAAAATGGGGCAGAAGACACGAAGATGTATTTCTCCAGAGAAGACATCCAGATGGCCAACCGGCACATGAAAAGATGCTCAACATCACTCATCGTCAGGGAAATGAAAATCAAAACCCTAAGAAATAACAAGTGTTGGCAAGGATGTGGAGAAAAAGGAACCCTTGTGCACTGTTAGGAATGCAAACTGATGCAACTGCTGTAAAAAATAGTATGGAGGTTCCTCAAAAATTAAAAATGGAACTACCCTATGATCAGGTAATTCCACTGGGTATTTTTTTTTTTTTTACTTTTTTTCTTTTTAAAGATTTTATTTATTTATTTGACAGAGATCACAAGTAGGCAGAGAGGCAGGCAGAGAGAGACAGAGGAGAAGCAGGCTCCTCCTGAGGAGAGAGACTGATGCGGGGCTCGATCCCAGGACCCTGGAATCATGACCTGAGCCGAAGGCAGAGGCTTTAACCCACTGAGCCACCCAGGCGCCCCTCCACTGGGTATTTACTCAGAATATAAAAACATTAATTTGAAAAAATGTAAGCACCCCCATGTTTATTGCAGCACTGTTTACAATAGCCACATATGGAAGCAATACAATAGATTAAGGAGATGTGGTGTGTGTGTGTGTGTGTGTGTGTGTATTATATGAACATAACATACACACACACAAATACATATATATAATGGTATATTATTCAGCCATAAAACAAATGGAATCTTGCCATTTGCAACAACATGGATGGATCTAGAGGGTAGGTATAATGTTAAGTAAAGTAAGTCAGAGAAAGACAAATACCGTATGATTTCACTTATATGTGGAATTTAAGAAATAAGAAAGAGACAAATAACAACAAAAAAACCCCAGAATTTTAAATACAAAGAACAAACTGGCGGTTGCCGGAGGGGAAAGGGGTATGGGGATGGGTGATACAGGTTAAGGGGATTAAGAGTGCATTTACTGTTTAAGAAACAAAACAGATGAATACAGGGAAAAGGGAGGAAAAATTAGATTAAAAACAGAGAGGGAAGCAATCCATAAGAAACTCTTAACTATAGGAAACAGAGGGTGGCTGGGGAGGAGGGGGGTGGGGGAATGGGATAAATGGGTGATGGGCATTAAGGAAGATACTTGATGTAATGAGCACTGGGTATTATATGCAACTGATGAATCACTGAACTCTACCTCTGAAACTAATCTATGTCAACTAAATTGAATTTAAATTAAAAATAAAAAAGTTTAGCAAAAAGTACACATTTATTCTGTTAAAGACTCACAGTGCACATTTAATATATTAAAGGCTCTGAGATTTCTCTAATAAGCCCCTTTAATTTTCATTAAAGAGGTGCACTTATTGTTATGAGCACTGAGTAGTGTATAGAATTGTTGAATTACTATATTGTACACCTGAAACTAACACTGCATATTAATTACACTGGAATTAAAACAATGAGGATAATAATAGTAATTGCTCAGTCATGGAGATGTCATTTATCCAGTGCCATCACATATGTAAAACAAATAGAACAGTATCTACAATATTAAAAAAAATCTACTGGTTCATGCAACAGGAGCCGGACAAGCACACAGCTGAGCTCTCATGGCAGAACTCCACAGGAAGTACCGATGATGAGACACTTAGGTCTGGCTGACATCTTGTCCCACCAAGTATAAAATTCCAGATTTACAGATTGTAACTCTATATGTAATTATAAATTAATATATTAAGAAGTGATATAAATATGTAAGATTATACCTCATGTTCTTATTAGGATCATCTCAGTGTTACTGAAATTTTAAGATGAGCCCTCACACTAATAAATGTCTCTCCTTCCTTCCCTTTCCCCCACAACTTTTCTAGATAATATTCTTTAATTCATGTAACACTGAATAAGAAATTGAATATCAATTTTTAAATGTTAAAGTTCCTTTTAAAAGACCCGTGACTAAACAATAGTGTCACTCCTGCAAGAAAATGCATCCATTCATTTATGGACCGAGTATCACAGTACCTGGCTCTGCACCTGTACTGGGCATTACCACAACCTGGGAACACAGCACTAAGATGCAGCACTTCTACTGTTGGGAGGGACGGACGATAAATAAATGTATAACTTCAGACAGTCTTCAGTGCTATGAAGAAAACAGGGTGGGACAGTGGCTAGACAGGGATATGGAGACTGGGTAGTCAGGGAGGTGCACTGAATAGGTTGTGTGAAAGCTCCAAGGAAGCCACGAGGTCTGTCTGAGGAGCCATGGAGGGGTCAGCCATGGAGGACAGAGCAAAGATGGAAGCCATCAAGTCCTGGCGATGATTTTTCTTTCTTTTTTTTTTTTTTTATTGAGAGAGTGAGCAAGAGAGACAGAAGACACAGAGTGCGTAAGTAGGGGGAGGGAGAAGCAGACTCCTTGCTGAGCTGGGAGCCCAATGCAGGGCTTGGCTCAATCCCAGGACCCTGGGATCACGACCTGAGCCGTGGGTAGACGCGCAACCTGAATGAGCCACCCCTGGTGATGCTTTTATATCAACTAGAAACTGGCTGAGAATTTATTTTTTGTTGAATGCATGGATTCCCATACTGATTTCCTAACTTCAAGCCCTGCATAGGACCACTATCTTACTACTGTATCTTACAGTTTACAATCAAGACTAAATTAGAAAACTGGCGAAGAAGGTGGGCTACAGGAAGAAGAGAATGGTTTGGAGTCAGAAAGCCTGACTCGGAGCCCAGGCTCCATCATTTGGTATTTGTGTACTAAATCGATCTGCTACTTGCAGCTTCCGTTTCCTTGCCTGAAAATGGAAATCCTGACACTGCTCCCCTCCTCTCTGGGGTGTGTGAACACCCTCTCTGGCTGTCCTGCGCCACACTGGGCAGCCGTCCCAGTGAATCTCAGTCTGTACATGGCAGCTGAGAAACAGAAAGATACTAAAGGTGGACAAATAGGATGTTTAATAACAACACTTGAACAATGACAGTAAATAAAACATAGCTATTATTTGGGGGCTAAGCATGTGCTAAGTGAGGTACCATGTTACCCTGTTTAGTCTTCTCAACAATGCTGTTAGATTGGTTCTATTGTTATCCCCATTTTACAAAAGAGGACTGGGAAGCTCTGAAGGGTTGTTTGTCCAGGGTCATGCAGACTGAGTCTTAAACGTCAACCTTCAAAGGGAAGCATTTATTCAAAGGCAAGTCCTCTGAGTATCCTCACTCATTGCTTATTTTATTTTAGACCAAATTAGAATCAACTTGCTTACTGTTTTCCTGGACCACAGATTTCAGTAACCTGTAAACAAGGGTGAGTAGGGTTTGCTGGTGGTGGGCACCTTAGCGGCAAGACAGGAATGCTTTTATAAAAACCAGAAAGGCACATACAAGCAAATGAAAACAAATGAACCAAAAATTAATCTGGGTGCAGTGAGTTAGGGGTCACTTTTCCAGTTAAAGAACAATCTTCCCGCCTCAGAGCTTGGAGGCATCTGCCCACCACATCATGCTCATAAGCAATGACTACTGATCATTAAAACACAGATCATTTGTTTACTCTCAAGGGAAAGTATGTAATGAAATTTAGAACGTTTCCATCCAAAATACTTAAAATTAGGAGTCCAAGCAAAAATGTATATAAGAATAGCTTATTCCCTAAGGACAATGGCTTAAGTAAGACATCACTGTATTATAAATATTAATAGGATGTATACCATGATTCCACTTCTGTAAAGTTCCAAACCAGGCAACACAAAATTATAGCCTCGAAGGCTGCATCCTTAGGTCAAAGTAAAAAGAAACCCAAGGATGTACTCATTATAAAAGTCAGAGAGCCGTTTACCTTTGGAGGGAAGGGCAGGGTTTGTAATTGGGAAGGAGCCTGTGGGGATTTCCAGAGGCCAGCAGTGTCCTATTTCTTGACCTCAGTGGTGGTGACATGGGAGTCCACTTGACAGTAATTCATTAAGCTGTATCTGTATGATTTCAACACTTTTCTCTATTGGTGGTGTATTTCAGAGTAAATGTTAAAGACTGAATTTCAGAGATAAACCTGTACGACTAATAGACAGTACACTTTGCTCAGGTGAGTCATGTATTTCTCATGATTTCACCCTCTGGACAGCCCCTGTGAGGCAGAGAGGGCAGGCATCCTCCTCCCCCTCATTTTAAGATGGAGACCCAGGAGTTCTAGGGGTTTCCAAAGAGTCACTGGATGAGCTGGGACTCCCCCCGCTGTCTGGTTAGCTTCAAGTACCCAGCTCTCCCAACCCTCACCTCATCCATAAGCCATATCCCAGGCATAGAATACACTGTGGAAGAGTTATGAAGTCTGAGTGAATTTCCTCAGAAATCAGAACCTCACCTGTCATGATGTTCCACTGCAATCTCATGCTTGCTCTGGAAATCAATCTGGGCCTCCCTGACCATATTAAACCAGGCCCTGAACATCTTCTTCTGAAGAAAATGTACCCACAGTTTTTGTACTTTTTCCTCCAGATCAGTCAGGTACTGGGGATGAAGAAAGGAATAGAAGTGAGACAAATAATATCACAGACAAAGAATTAGAGCAAATAAACAGTACAAAAGAGAACTGCAACAAATACGAAAGAACAAAGGACACTGGGGGCATAAAGAGAAAAAGATAGCATGGCAGTCCAGATAATATCCTCTGCAATGTATTAAAAAAACAATGGAGCCAGAGGTGTGGAAACAGTTCTAAGCCTGAGGGGGTAGGTTTCTAGTAAAATCACTTAAGCAATTATGGGATAAGCAACAAGGAATGAATATAAAAGCAAAAGCTGATGTAATGTTACATTAAGTTTATAAACAGTTTATGGACACTCTATGTGAAAAGTGTTTTATACTTAGGAAGAACTGATTTGACATTTTCATATTCATTTCAAAGCAAGGAACTGGACCGCTTATTCTATATTGTTCTTGGAAAAAAAAAAAAACAATAGTTATGGACATCTGGATTGCACCTAATTTTCTTACATAGGATTGAGCAGAGACATGTATTTAAAGCTTCCTTCCCTGTGTGGCCTTACCTGTAGCCAGCTCCGGATAACTCTCCGAAGCAGTATTTGGCAATAGAACTGATCAGCCCGGGCTGTGTTTCTAGCCAGGATTTCCTGACTGTACTGGAACCAGGACAGCAGGCATTTTCTCTGTAGAGCCAAAGAGTGATGTTCTTCAGCCACCTGGACAATTTTTTAAATGAGAAAAGGAATTTATTCCTTGTATGTTTAATCACTTAAGGAACTACACATCACCTTGGCAAATAATGCTATAAACTACATGTAGGCCACTATAGAGGGAATAACCTTAAGGGCATTCAGACTATGTCCTAAGAGCTCTAACTACTGACCCTGTTTTATGGGGGTTTTAGATTCACATCATGCACAGCCTTGCAGCGCTGACTCCCCGAAGACCACAGTGACTGGCTGGTTATTAGGAAAATGGAATAAACCTCCAAAGCCATTATTTCACTTGCATCAAGTTTCAAAGTGTGTAGGTGATGATATTCTCAGTTTGTTCTCCTGGAGCTTGGACAGCAACTCCATAATAAACCTCTCTATTATGTACTTAACCACTGTCTAACTGAGGAAATGCCAATATTTTCAACTAGTTTTCTAGTATGAGCTGTCACCAGCATTGAAATTTAGACATTGTCAATAAACCACGAAAACATTTAATAGGAAATAACATGATGAATAATTTAATGTCTTACCAACTTAAAAGGTTCAGAGAGAACATCATTCTACCAAAATAAACATGTAACTCAGAGTTTGTGAATTTTACAAGGTAACTGTTGTATTCTTTTAAGGGGCAGGCAGGAAAAACCCTTCCCTCTCAATCCCATCCATACAATTACACCTTTTTCTAAGCCTTGCCTAACCAGCCAGCACCATAAATGGGAGTGATCCAAGTGAATCTCTTGACAGTCCTACTTATCGGCCCAATGACCATCCAGGAGACCACTGGGGCACTCGAAACCACTGTCTGGCCTGACTCATCCCAGTCTGGGAGCCAAAAGGCAAGGGGAGCCTCCTACGCTTCCTGCTCTTTGTCCTCTGGGAAAACAGAGAACCAGGAAGAAAAAGATTATCAGAAGGTCTCAAAGAAGTTCTGAAATGGTTTTTGGATTAAATATTCTATAGTATACGTGAGTTTAAGGGAAAAAATGCTAAATAACTCTTCTGAAAAAATGTTACAAACAAGGCTGGGACTGTTTAACTGGATCTTTCTTTTTTCTTAATTTTGTTTGTATCCCTTCCTAGAAGCCAACACAGATGGGTAAAGAAGCTACCCCTTCCTTTTACTGTGCTCCAGAACTTTTCCTTTTATTTCTTATTTTTTAACTTTCACCTGGTGGTTACCATCTACCTTAATACTCTGGTTCTGACAGTTTAATGGCGTGCCAGAACCGGGTTGCTTTCCTGGACTGTGTTCCCAGGTGCTGGCTACACTTTGGCTTTGTAACCAATGTGCTATGTGACTTCTAAGGCTCAGTGCCCTTATTACAAATAGGAAGAGGTGGAGAGGACTGCTAATGCTCTAAAATTCTACTACCTTGTTGTGACAGACTGAATAGTGGGCCCTCAGGGATGTACATGTCCTGATCCCTGGAACCTGTAGATATGTTACCTTATGTGGTACAAGGGATTTTGCAGATATGATTAAGTGAAAGATTATAAAATGGGGAGATTATCCTGTATGATATCCAAGAGCCCTAAATATAATCACAAGAATGCTTGTCAGAGGGAGGTGACAGGGTCAGCATTAGTGTATGTGACCTGAAAGCAGAGAGAAGAGTGATTCGAGGAGGGAGCTGAGAGCAACAGGATGCCGGTGGCCACTGGAAGGTGAAAGAGGCTTGGAAACAGATTCCACCCCCGCTTGGAACCACCAGAAGGAAGGTGCCCTGCTGATACTCTGACCTTGGCCCAGCAAGTCCAGTTTTAAGTTAGTAAATGTGTTACTGTAAGTTGCTAATGTTGTGGTAATTTGTTGTGACAGCAATAGGAAGCTAATGCACTTGTTATGAGCTAGAGCAGTGATTCCCAAAATGTGGTGCTCAGACCACTCAGAATTCCCCAGGCTACTTATTAAAAAATGCAGATTCCCTGACACACACCAGCCAGCAACTCAGACATACCGAGAATACCTGGAGGTGGAACCAGGAATGTGCATTTTTATAAGATCTCCAGATGAACGGATAACAGGTTTTATGAACAGAAAAGTTTGGAAAGGCTGGTTTCAGATCTGTCTTCCTGTTTTTCTTTTAATTGGGTTTTTCTGTACTTAAAGCCTATAGTTGTCATTTTCAGATCAAACTCCTGTTTCTATTTTTTTTTATTTAAATAAAGAAATAGAAAAATTTGAATTTGGTTATTCACCATAGATTCAATTTGTTTCAGCATTTTATACCTTTTTTGAATTTATTCAAATACTAGGACCAAAAAAGAAGAGCTGATAGGAATATAAGAATGAATCTTTCCATTCACTGTCTGTTTTTCCTTTGCGTATTAATAAATGAACCCCCCACACACACACAATATACAAAAGCCAGATAAAACAAAACTAGAAGCATTCAGTTAGATAGCAAATGCTCTTTGTAGTAGTGTACTGTAAGGAAATTTTCAGTTCAAATTTCGGATTTCACTTCCAGATTCATTCACTCAGAAGACTAGAGAGTCAGCCCTTCTCTCTCATTACAAGGAAAAAGCCGCAGCAAAATAGCAATGGCTCGGGGCACAGATGGATCCTCTTGCCCTCAGGTCAGATCACCACAAATGGCCTTCCTCAGCTGGTTTGGAATACTTAGTAATTCTAGAACCACTGGTAAGGAGGCTGAGGACAAAAAATCAGGGACAGAGGAAAAAAACAATTTTGGGAAGGTAAAAAAGTATGAAAAACAGGGAGAGAACAAAGAGAATGAAGAATGAATAGGCAGGGAGCCTACGTCACGTTTCCAGAGGTATAATCTGCAGCATTATTCAATTTAGTGGGACTCATGATACTTGGTTTTCATAACCCAAAACGCTAGTTTTACTCTTCAATATTAACCTGGCCAAATGTGTAAGTAATAGTGGGCATACCTAGAATTACTGTGCTTATTTTTAAACAATTCTAAAAATAACATCTCATCTATTTTGAGCTTCTGATCATTTAGTTTAGAATGCCCTGCCCTATGCACTGGGTAAGTTTGAAGCTTACTGTTACTTGATTTTATATATCTCTGTGTGGCAGAGGTAGTTATGGTTCCCTATAATAGGATTACAGATCCCTACTCTTTGTATGTGATTTCATAATGCCCCCCAATGAAGTAGATGGAACTTTTCCTCCCCTTAATGACCTTGAGTTTGTCTCTATGATTTGCTTCAGCCAATGAAATGTTAGTGGACCGGATACAAGGAGAGGTATGGTGTGGGCTGTTTACGTCATTGGGCTTAGTTGTTGCACAATAAACATTTGCCAGGTGAAAAGCACGGCCTGAATTACTGCTGAAGCCAGAAAGAGGCTGTGGAGAGACCTGAATGTAATCCACAGCTGGCCCACAGACGTGTGAGTAAGAAACAAATGTCTAAATTGCAAGCCGCTGATTTTTGAGGGCATTATGCAGCTTTATTGAAACAGAAACCTAATACTTTATGGTAATTATTTATTCTTTATGAGAAACATGGCTAAAATTGAGAGAAGCCTCTATTCATCTTACTTTGAAAAAGTCTTTAATAAAAAATCTACTCATTTTGTTTCTAACCTACGCAATTATAGAAATCTTTCTCTGTCTTAGAAGACCAAATCTGAACTCTTACCCAAAACAAAGAATTACATACACTCGTTTAGCTTTTATTTTTAGCTTTTAAATCACCAAGCAGCCCTCAATTTGAATTGGGTATTTATTCCATTTGAAAAGTCCATTTTGTAATTTTGGGAGGAAGTGTGTGACACCAAACCTGGATGTTTTGCTTGTTTTGCAGTCTCAATCTCTTCCAAGGTTCCAGGCCTTTTTTCCTTAGCAACATCCTTTCATAATGTTCTTTGGCTACTGCTTCCAGCTGCTGGTTCCTCTTAATTCTCTTCTGCTTCTCTAGTTCTTTCTGGGAAAAATTAAAAAGTGAAAATGCTGAGAAGGGACCAAGATGGTGACATAGGAGGTCCTGGACTTCCTTCCGGCCTTGGATGTATTCATTGTATAGCTACATACAGAGCATTTCCCTCTGTTAGAAATCTAGAAACTAGCTGAGTGACTCTTCCCTATCAGGTGAATGAGAAAAGCACCCATATCAAATTGGGTAGGAAGGACTGAAACACGCTTCTGACATAAACCCCATCCCTGGCACAGCACCATACAACAGGGAGGGAACTCCCAACTTGGAGCTTCTCTCTGAGGAATGAAGGGTTTGGATTGCATATCTGGCACTTCATCTTTTAAAACAACTACTCAGGAAAAGGGCCATAAAATGACTGCCTCTGAAAGCCACTGGGGCTTGGGTCCATGAGATACACAAAACGACAGGAAACAAATAAACGGTTCTTAATGGATGTGTGCGCACTTCCTATCCCCTTAGGGTTCAGCCCTGAAAGAGCAGACAAACATGCCCATCTCCCAGTCGCTCTGAAAGCGGTTTGACCGTACAGTAAGCTAATGCCTGAGGGTCCAGCTTCTAATTTAGCACACATTTAGGAGTTGGTTGTGGTCCTCCCCAAAGGAAGTGCCCTATAGACTCTTATTCTGCCTTCTCCTTCTAGCTCACTCCAATAAAACCAAACAACCAGCACCTCTCTGGAAGGAGCTTGGACACAATCTGGTTACCCAACATTTATGATTACCCCTTAGGGATGGGACCCTGGTTTGCTTGGCTCGGAAAGCCAGTGGAGCTTACATTTACAAGTTCTACAGGACTGTAACAAAGAAGTAATTTTTTTTTTTAAGATTTTATTTATTTATGAGAGAGAGAGAGAGCGAGCACAGGCAGACAGAATGGCAGGCAGAGGCAGAGGGAGAAGCAGGCTCCCTGCAGAGCAAGGAGCCCGATGTGGGACTCGATCCCAGGACGCTGGGATCATGACCTGAGCCGAAGGCAGCTGCTTAACCAACTGAGCCACCCAGGCGTCCCAAAAGAAGTAATTTTTAAATGGGTATAGGAGCACCCTTCTCCCGTTGTGGGCTCAGTGCAGAGGGAGCAGGCAAAACACATCTCATAGTTTCTCCCTGGAAGGGGCTTAGTTACCCTACATTCCCAGCTGCTACTTGAGGGTACAGTGTTGTTGTTGTTTTTTATATATTTTTTCTTCTTTTCCTTTATTAATTATTTTTATTAACATATAATGTATTATTTGCCCCAGGGGTACAGGTCTGTGAATTGTCAGGTTTACACATTTCCCAGGAGGGTATGGTTTTTTTATCAGCTTGGATCTAGGTGCTGACTGAGATTTTCCCCTTTGGGATACTGACAAGTATTGGTACAGCTCAACTACTGGGCGCTAAGAACAAAGACAACAGATTGGATGATCACAAAGGTTTGAGAGACAGTCAAGAACTGACAAGGTTTATCTCCCACAAGAGACTGCTCTGTCAAGACTATGAGAAGTGGCTGCTTTATTTCATGTGCAGAAACCAACAGGAAGAGTCAAGAAAAGTAGAGAAACGGGAATATCTTCCAATGAAAGGAACAAGATGAATCTCTAGAAATCAATCTTAATGAAATAAATGATTTACTCAATAGATAATTCAAAACAGTGATCATAAAAAAATGCCCACTGAGTAATGCATGAACAAAGAATTTCACCAAAGAGATACAAAATATATATTAAAAAACCCCCAAACATAAATCATATAGCTGAAGAATACAGTAACTGAACTGAAAAATTTGATAAAGGGTTCAACATCAGGCTATATCACGCAGAAGAAAGGATAAGCCAATTTAAAGACAGAGCAGAGAATTCATCCAATCAGAGGAAAAAGAAAAAAACAATGAAGATAGCATAACGGACTGACAGGACATCATCAAGGGTAGAAATATATGCATTACAGGGGTTCTAGAAGAAAGGCGGGGGCAGAAAGCTTATTTAGAGAAATACTGGCTAAAAAATTCCCTGGGGAAAGAAACAGACATCCATATCCAGGAGGCCCAAAGAATAGCAAACAATATACATCTAAAGAGGGACACACCAAGACAATTAAACTGTTAAAAGTTAAAGAAAAGTAGAGTATCAGCAAGAGAAAAGCAACTTGTTACATACAAGGGCACTCCCATAAGACAATCAACAAGTTTTTTAGCAGAAACCTTGCAGGACAAAGGGAGTGGGATAATATATTCAAAGTGCTAGAAGAAAAAACCAGCCAAACAAGAATAGTCTACCCAGCAAAGATGTCCTTCACAATTGAAGGAGAAATAAAAGAATTTTCCAGATAAACCAAAGCAAAATAAATTCACTACCACTAGACCAGCCTTACTCAAATCCCAACACTGAAAAGGACTAGTTCAAGGGGCAACAGAGTAGCTCAATTGGTTAGGTATCCGACTCTTGGTTTTGCCTCAGGTCATGATCTCAGAGTCCTGAGATCCAGCCCTGCATCAGGATCTCTGCTCATCCGGAGTCTGCTTCCCTGCCCCCTCTCTCTATGTCCCCTCACCACTCGTGTACTCTCTCTATATATATATCTCAAATAAATAAATAAAATAAATCTTTTTTTAAAAAAAGGGCTCTGGGGCGCCTGGGTGGCTCAGTGGGTTAAAGCCTCTGCCTTCGGCTCAGGTCATGATCCCAGGGTCCTGGGATCAAGCCCCACATTGGGCTCTGTGCTCTGCAGGGAGCCTGCTTCCTCCTCTGTCTCTCTCTGCCTGCCTATCTGCTTACTTGTGATCTCTGCCTGTCAAATAAATAAATAAAATCTTTAAAAAAAAAAAAAGGCTCTAAGTTGAAGTGAAGGACACTAGTTAGTAACATAAAAACATATGAAACTGTAAAATTCACTGGTAAAGGTATATATATATATAAATAGTTTAATAGAAAATAATATGGTAATGATGGTAGGTGAATCTCTTATAACTCTAGTATAAAGGTTAAAAGACAAAAGTATTAAAAATAACTATAATAATAATTTGTTAACGGATGAACACTATAAAAGATGTAAATTGTGGGGTGCCTGGGTGCTCCAGTCAGTTGAACATCTGACTTTTGGTTTTAGCTCAGGTTGTGGTCTCAGTGTTGTGAGTTCAAGTCCCACATCGGGCTCTACACTCAGCATGGAGTCTGCTTCAGATTCTCTGTCACCCCCTCTGCCCCTCCCACTCATGCTCTCTCTCTAAAATAAATAAATAAAATCTTAAAAAAAAGGTTATAAATTGTGACATCAAATACAAACTTTGGGAGCAGGAGTATAAAAATGTAGAGGTTTTGCATACATTTGAAGTTATAGCTTAAAACAGACTGTTAAAACTACAAGATGTCTTATGTAAGCTTCATGCAACCACAAAGCATAAGCCTATAGTAAATAAATAAAAAAGATTAAGAGAAAGGAATCAAAGCATAACATTACAGAGAATCATTAAATTACAAAGGAAGAAAGCAAGAGAGGAAGAAAGGAATAAAGGAACTACAGAAGAGCTAGAAAACAGTTAGCAAAATGGCAATCATAAGCCACGCCTATCAATATTTTAAATGCACACAGACTACGTTCTCCAGTGAAAAGCCATACATACAGTGGCTGAATGGATGAAAAAAATCAGGACCCAAACTGCTGCCTATGAGTGGCTCATTTCAACTTTAAGGACACACAGAGACTGAAAGTGAAGTGATAGAAAAGAGATACTCCATGCAAACAGAAGCCAAAAGACAGCAGGAGTAGCTAGCCTTATATCAGATAAAACAGACATTAAGCCAAAGACTGTAACAAGAGATTTAAAAAAAGGTCATTTGGGGCACCTGGGTGGCTCAGTGGGTTAAAGCCTCTGCCTTCACCTCAGGTCATGATCCCAGGGTCCTGGGATCGAGCCCCACATCGGGCTCTCTGCTCCGCAGGGAGCCTGCTTCCTCTTCTCTCTCTCTCTCTGCTTGCGTCTCTGCCTACTTGTGATCTCTATCTGTCAAATAAATAAATAAAATCTTAAAAAAAAAAAAAAAGGTCATTATACCATGAAAAAAGGGTCAGTTCATCAAGAGCATATAACAATTATAAATATTTATACACCCGTCTTCCTCCACGGTTCCCTTGGTTCTCCACCCCTCCTTCCCGTGGTGCTCAGTGGAATTATGCATGAAACAGAAGCAAAAGAAGAAAAGATTGAAAAAAAAAAAAAAAAGAAAGGTGAAGATGGTGAAAATCATTCAATTAAAAAGCAGGCAGAGATCCTATAAGAGTCCTAGATAATGATCCCAGATTGCTAGCACAGGTTGGAAGCCGCATATACTGATCTTCTGCAGTTAGGAGAGAGTGGAAAAGACTTGCAAGAAGCTGAGGACTAAAAGGAGTGCGTTTAGTATTAGATTTAGTGAAGTTAGAAGCCTGAAGTTTTCTGTGTAGGGTGTTTTTTGCATTAAATCTTGGGATCCATTCCACAATTCATTATTTTTGACCACTGCTGTGTGTAGTAGTATGAGAATGTGCTTCTTTTTACTCACTTGCATATATTTTTTTTGTCTAATTTAATGTACCAAATGAGTTCATCTAATAAAAAAAATTTATGCACCCAATTTTTGAATCACCCAAATACATAAAGCAAATACTAACATTCTGAGGGGAGATCTACAGAGCAGTACAGTAATAGTAGGAAACCTAAATAACCCACTTTAAACAAATGGATAGATCACCCTGACAGAAAATCACTATGGAAACACTGGACTTAAATTATATGTTTGACCAGATGGACCTAACAGACATATGCAGAACATTTCATTCAACAACAGCAGAATAACACATTTTTCTCAAGGGTACAGGGAACATTCTCCAGGATAGATCGTATGTTATATGACACAAAACAAATCTTAATACATTGAAAAAATTGGTATCATATCAAGCATCTTTTCCAACCACGATGTTATGAAATTAAAAATCAATTACAAAAGGAAAACTGGAAAACACACAAATACATGA